CTTCTGGGATTGTTCATGTATTTTGGAGGCTTCTCCTGTCTAGGTGTGTGATACCTTAAGTTTTCTCCTTCCTCCCAAGCAGACCTTTTACCCCCATGACTATATTCTTTGTTATACAGAAGTGTAGAATATTATTGAATGCATGATACAGCAAAAGACATGGGAGATAATCTCTTAGGTCTGAGCAAGGGGATCTCTCAACCTGGTGTTTTACTTTGATCCTATGAGTGGTGGGTACATTGAGGCACACAGCTTCCTGTGTGGAGTGAACAGAATTTGGCACCACACTTGTAGGAGAGGTCTGTGTGTTACTCAAGTTCTGCTCTCATTGAAATGATCTCTCATACATATTTTGAAATATTTCTTATTTTTGATATTTTAGCTATGTATATAAAATTATTTTCATGGGAAATTCATGTCATTGTTTTAAATAGTTGCAACCTACATGAGGGACAAGGAACCAGCATCTATAAATAATTCCTGGCAGCGGTCAGGATGTGGTACATATTTGTGAAATGAAAGACTCCAAGAATCAATCCAAGGCTGATATGCGGAGTTTCCCACAACGCCAGGCCTCTTTGACAAGGAGAAAACACAAACACTTACAGGGTCAGTCAAGAAGGGCCATTTTCACAAAATCACTGTGTCCTCTAAGAAATGATCACATCTCCAAGGGTGACCAGGAAGGCTGGACTTAGAAGGATGGTCAAAACCATGGAAACCATAAGAATTGTGCCCTGCAAGTGCTGTCTTTCTGGCTGCCTTCCTGCCCTGGGCCTTGCTGCATACAGTATAGTGTCTGAATAGCAAAAAGGAAAATTAAACCTGAAGTTCTGATGTGAGACATAAGATGAAGACTTAATTCTAGTCTTAGAAACATGTACTTAATTCGTCAGGCAGCAGCAGTTCCGAGCAAAGCTTGCATCAGGGGTCTGCCTAGGTGAGTTTCCTCTGCTGGCTGGTCTTAGGTAGAGTGTCCTAGCATCAGAGATTGAGAGGGAGCAAGCAACTGAGGGACTTCTGCCAAGGGAAACCTGTAAAAAGTGAGGGATGCCCGAAAAGACAGAGAAACTGGAAGGCCAATGGCTTAGCTGGTAGAGTGCTTGACTGACTGAAGGAAGCCCTGGGTTCGATCCCAGCACACCCATCAGATTTAGTGACACATACCTGTATTCCTAGCACCAGGAAGGTGGATGTGGGAGGATCAAGGTCAAGGTCATACACAGCTTAACGGAGTGAGTTCAAAGCCATCCTGGGCTATGGAAGACCCAGTATAAGTATAGACAGACAGACAGACAGATAGATATGCATTCAGATTTCATAGAGCACGCCTGAACAGGAATAATTGCTCAGAAACTATTTTCAGCCAAGCATAGCTGAGGACCATCCCAGATATTTCTACCTACCATGTGGCATTTTGAAGGGTTAAATAGGAATCAAGAGACTTTGGAAAGTTTATACTCAATAAATTACATATTTATTGGATAGAAAGGCTGACAGACAGACAGACCCACCATAAGTACTCAGAAAGTGGCTGTGGAGACAAGCTAATGCCTTCTCACTGATATCTAGTTCCTAACTCTTAAAACTTATGAGCACATTACATTCTGACATTAGAAGATTGGAGTTAAGGACTTTGGGTAGAAAGGATTCCTGTGGTTGCCCAGGCAACCACAACCTAACATGACCAGGCTGAAGTTAAAGCAAGTAGGGATAATGTCAGTTCTAGAGATCTTCCTAGGGAACTTCATGCTGAGGTATACAAACCACCTGTACAGGAAAAAAGCAAGGACAGAAAGTTCTCTGAGGACCTCCCGTCAGAGATGCATCTCTGAGAGCATCTTGACACCAACACAAGGACACGGCTCATATCGATTTCTAAATCATAGAAGAGCAGGATGGTCAGTTTGTGCTGATGCAATGTCACAGCACCACAGAAATCGGGTATACCACACAGGATAGGAGCAAAATGGCTAGTGAGCCGAGAATGGTGGGATTCACGCCATCCTTGAATTTGTAAGGAAAAAATAGTAAGTTCTCAGAATTCAGGGACCTTAAAAGTCCCAGAGAAAATGATTGAAGCAAAATGACAGTTGAATCGGCATAGGATAATAAAACTGAGTATTTCATAAAGCGTCAAAAACTATATCTCTGGTGGAACATCAAAGTTGATGTGGGATTGGAAGTAAAAAGTTATATGTGTGTTTATCATTGCGCCAAAGACACAGGGACCAAGCCAACAAAAGCAAAGCGCACAGCGACTGGTCATCTAGTACCAAACTGTCAGCTCTAAAGACACTCACCAGTAACATCGTACAGACTGAACAGGTTATAGTTAGGAATATGTATGTGTTTATACATATACATATATGCATGCAATAACAATATAGAGAAAAAGGTGAAGGAGAGTGGGGAGGGGTATATGAAAGGGCTTTGAGGGAAGAAAGGGAAGAGAGAAATGTTATGACTGTATTATAAATCCTTTCCCTTAAAAAGGAACTACTCCAAAATTAAGGGGAAAAAAAGTCATTATTTACAGTTGCCTGGGATTTTTGGGGTCAGGAAAATTCAGGATTATGAGCTTTCTGGCCACAAGGGGGTGCTGTGAGACAGGCGCTCTACTCAAGTGATGCTTCGCTTGGCTGGCAAAGAACCCAGATCTTCACAGAAAGCCTGGATCCTAACCCACCCTTGACTATCAAATATGAATGGCATCGAGTTCTTGTTCACTGACATTTTTCAAAATGGAGATTACTTATGACAGTTGTTGGTGTCTTCCTCAATTGAAATGAACATAATAAATTTCCATGAAGTTTTCTGAAACAGATTAGGTAAACTGACACAAAAGAGCAGTGTCGTGCAGATTTGTGAATTGGACTCCCCTTCCCCCACTCCCCGACCCAGCAATGGGAAGAAAGTGTGTGGGGAAAGATGTGTTGTGGAAGGCACCTGACTATGGGACAAGGCAGCTCTAAGTCACTCACTGAGAGCCAAAGCCATTTCAGTAAGAGGAAAGGTTCCTGGGCTCAGCAGAAAGGTACACAGCAATGGCACTGTCCCTCAGAGCACAGGAAGAGGCAAGTGGAGCAAACCAGTGAAAGCTCCGTGCACACTTAGTTATAGGTCGGGTGGTCAGAGTTTTGTAGAGCATATGAGGAGAAAGAAAAGAAAAAAATAGACAAGAATCTAGAAAGACATACCACAGTATTTTTTTTACTTAAAATGAGGATAGATTGTATGGGCAAGAGATGAGAACATTGTTTTTGCAAATTGTGAGTAAGTTTCATGGCTCAGGGAAGCAAAGGATGCGGAACACAGAGTGGGAACCAGGAATGATGAGCAAAGCCAGGAGATCACACCTGGCTCTCACTCTACTTGCTGTTGTCCACAATGAAGACCTAGTCCTGCAGTCACACCAGGTGGCAATTCAAGTAGGTTCAAAACACAGTTGCAGTTACTGAATGAAACCATGTCTAAGACTATATCTAAGCTTGTTTTTTTAGTGATTCAGGTAGGCATTTTAAAACAAAACAATCGAAATCATATTAATATTTGAGATATTTCACTCTGGTGCAAACAGTACCATTTGTACTATACTTTGATATTTTTTAATGTCATGATTTATATGGTTTTAATCTATGCAATGCTTTATCAGTGATGATTCTTTCCATGCCATTCCTTTCTAACTACATTTCTGATGCCAGATTTTTTGATCCAAAGAAGAAGATTGTATTGTATTAAATGAAGAAGTAGATATGAAAATCCAGCATCTTTCAGCTGTTTCCAGCATAAAAGAGGTTTTTAAAATGTGAATACTTCTTCCTCAATAATGCTCTTTTTGTTTGTTTGCTTTCTGTTTTTGTTTCTTTTTTGGAAAACAAAGCAATTTTTATTAATATGTTTATTTTTACCAATGTAACAACTTTAGTTAGTACTATTAAAAATAAACACATGAAATGTTATCAGTTTAAATTTCTCACATGGCAAATATTGCCAGAGAGAATGTATGTGAAATAAAAGGTCTTTAGAGGCCTCTGTAATACTGAGGAGCCATAAAGGGATGCCAAGACTAAAAGAAGTTGAGAACTTAGATGAAGGTAACTCCCAAGTGTGTCGTTCTGAAAGAGAACCGCCCTGTGAGCATCAACTATATGAACATGTTTAATAAACAGCTCAAAATGAGTGCATCCAAGAGAACTCTTGATAATGGCTCCACCTGAGCATTTGCTCTTTCTCCAGTTCTCCTACAGTCACTCTGGTTCAAATAGAAGCCTAACTCTAAGATTCAAGAATCACTGCCTGACTTTGTGACTACCACAGCCACTCCAGGAATAGTTCTACAGGCATTACTGCTGAAATATTTTTTCAGTGTATCTGTTTCTATGCATACTGCTTTCACCACCTTTCTACATCACTTCAGCCTGCCATCACATTCTCTTGGCATCTTGGAAAGTTAAATCAAGCAAACAACAATTGTTAATGAGGAGGGCAAAGGTAGAAAATGTCAAGTTCCTACCATAATAATTATCATCATAGTCATCATCACCACTACCAACATCACTATAGTTAATACAATCATCATCACATTCACCATCACCATGGTGACTACCTTCACTCATTACCATCACCAGCATTATCACCATCACCATGGTTACCACCATCAAAATCATCACCATCATCACAATTATCTTCATCAACATCATTATTATCATCATCATAATCATTGTCATCATCTAGATATGGTCATATCCTAATAATATACATAGTATTACTAGTTTTTCATTTTCATATGATGATTTGGTGATTCTATTTAATCTAAACAAATTTTGTAGATGATAAATATTTAATGCAATATTTTTCATTAAGGATTATCAAAGTATTAAAATATTAACACAAAACAAACTATATCAGAGCATGCTTTATATTTCAGAAAAAGTAATTTAGATGTAGATTCAGACACAAGTTCTGTGTTTGGTCATTAGATACAGAGCTCAGCTTACCTTATCAAGTTCATCTGAAATCGCAATACCTGGGATTCAAAAGAGATTTACAAGACAATTTTAGAAGCAAGCTTTGATGACTGGATGCTACAAATTAAAAAAAAAATTCTAGTCATAAATCTGGTGCATTACCTATTCAATTTTGTTCCTTTTCATTGGTTCTTTAAAATAATAAAATATGTCCTTTGTACTTATGAAAGCAAATTAAGAATTAAAGTCAACAATGAAGCCAGGACCTTCTGAAGCATCACAAATGAAAGACGGAATCTGAGAATAAGCAGCTGTTTCTTGTAGGTCTTCAGAGTCAGAGCTAACTTGCTAGAACATCATGGAGATGCCAGTCAACTCCCCTCACTTTTTTTTTGTCTTGAAACTCTGTTTTTTTCTACCCTTTTTGTGTTCGATCCAGAAATTCTCCTGGTAAGGTTTCTTTCTTAAATACCAGAGCTCTTTGCTGAAACATCTTTTCACTGAGTGTAAGTCCTTTCAACTAACTCACACCAATATGTTTCGCTACAGGATCATTTCCTGTTGGCATTTCAATCTCATCCTTCCAGGTTTTGATTTTTATTTATTTTTTTCATGTTATGATAGTGTCCCATGTTATGGCTAGGAAGAGTCTCCTTGCCTAGGCACTGGAGTAGACAGGGCCATCCCTCAGGTTTGGGACAGACAGCAGGAATGAGCTGGTGTCAAGTTTGAGGAAGAAGGATCGGGAGACAAGAAAAAGTCTGCAAGTCTAAAGTGCAAGGGAACAGAATGTCACAATGGGATTTGAAGCTCAAGCTCAGTAGAGCCTGAAGGGTAAGCCAGAGCAGCTGAGCCACATGGGAGAACCAGAAAAAGTCGCAAGAAAAGAAACCTTAGCAAGAGTCTCAGCATGCTCAGCTTTCCCTCCTACCTAGACACACAATGACCTGCAGAAAGTGTGCAGGATGCTCTATCAGCTCCCACAAAACCTACACCAGCCCAGTGAGTCAATTATTCACAAGGAACAACATCCACTTCTTCATCTCAGTAATTGGCAATATTCCTCTTCTTGTAGATAAAACTAGAAAGGCAGCATATCTGAGAATGCATTCCACATAGCAATATTCTATGACATCCTTTTTTTTCCCCCGAGAGAGAGGGTTTCTCTGTGTAGCTTTGCACCTTTCCTGGAACTCACTCTGAAGCCCAGGCTGGCCTGGAACTCACAGAGATCCCCCTGGCTCTGCCTCCCAAGTGTTGAGATTAAAGGTGTGCGACACCACTGCCCAGCCCATGACATCCTTTTGGATACAAATTATTGGTGAGGATCAGGAGACAGCTTCTCTGATAAAATGTTTGCCACACAAGTATGAGGACCTGAGATTGGAATCCCAGCACCTGTGTAAGAAGCTGGATTGCACACTTGTAACCCCAGTACTTGGAAAGCTGAGTGAGGAGGATCCTGGGGCTTGCTGGCCAGCCAGCCAGTCTGGCCAAATTGATGAGATCTAAATTCAATGAGAGACCTTATCTCAAAAAAACAAGCAGATAGTCATTCAGAAAAGCATCTGATGTTGACCTACAGCCTCCAAACACATGAGAATACATACACACACACACACACACACACACACACACACACACACACAGAGAGAGAGAGAGAGAGAGAGAGAGAGAGAGAGAGAGAGAGAGAGAGAGAGAGAGAGAGAGAGAGAGAGATTGGTGACTAATTATTTGTTGGAGCTGAAGATATGGCTAATCAATGAAGAGCACTAGCTGCTTTTGCATAGAACTGAGTTTTGTCACCAGCATCCATATGGTTCACAACAATCTGTAATTCCATTTCCAGAGGATAAGCTGTCCTCTTCTGGCCTCTATGGGTACTAGGCACACACATGGGACACCTGTATACTTGCAGGGAAAACTTTATTCAGGAGCATAAAATGAAATAATTTGTTACTGCACTAGAAGACAGTTTAACTACTAGCTTAGGGATAAGGTGGTAACTTTGGCATAATCCCGGTTCAAAGACACTGTACTGTGAAGGAGAAAAACCTGCAGAGCAACAGCATGGGAGCTGGTGTGCCAGAGTGTAGAATGTGTCACCATCAGGAGATGACACGTCAAGATATATCACAGCTTTTGGGCAATTATAATTATTTATATAGGTCTAACATACATCATACCTTTGTGAATGTTTGGTCTTTTAAAAATACATAGAATTACAAATGGTTACTGTAAATAATTCAGATTTTATGCAAATGAATGAACTCTGGCATTCCACATGGACCATGTTATGGTCTACAACACACTTAAAATGTATCATTGCAGATTATAAAAGTTAAATACATCTTACAAGCTGTTTTTACATTTAATACTATTCTACAGAAATGTTTCTTTCCTATATTAATTCAAGATTAAGACTGAACACCTTAAACATAAATATTTAAAAGACTAAATCTCCATATATGAGAAAGGGAATGTAGATGCTACAAAGTAAAATACTCATTCTCATTCAAAGTCACAACAGTTAGTTATCTGGAGTTAAATATCCCATAGTTCAACTGCTTGGGATTTCTGATTCTCTTGATCTTTTTGACTTGCTGCTCAGATGCCTTGAACTGGAAGAAATAGTTTTCTGTTCCAATTTTTAGAAAGCTATCAGTAAATCTTTAAATTTATTCTACACCTCAGATCTCTGAACCCAGTGTTCATAAAGATAGCAGCAATACATCACTTACCTACCTTTATCTAAAACACAGACAATTACTACTGACAAGTCAATAAAAAAAAAGTGCCTGCCACAGGGTACAGGATACTCTAGAGTGGTGGCTGGCACTGGGAGCTGCTTTCCAGGGTTGGGAAATGTTCAGCAGTGGAGAAGAAAGGGAAGACATATTTCAGGGAGTGATGAGACCCATCATAAACTCAATCAGCCTAATCGTAAAGCTTGCTTGAAAGAGAGACCTACCTCATTTAACTATTACCAATGCATAGTCTGATGACCACACTTAATGGAAATACTGATTATCAGATAGGCTTAACATTTACATATTTTAATGACTTTGCCCAATAAATTATACTTAGTAAGATACTTTAGATCTATTAGATATAATTCACTTAACTTTCTGTTTTCAATATCAAAATGTCTAGGGCATTTCTCATTTCGTTTTTAATCAAAGTTTACACTGATTAAAAGTAGTTGTAGGAATTTTAATGAAACACTTCTCCATGGAAGCAGAAAGCTCTAGCCTTGTGTATAAACAGTCAGACATCCATATCAGGGCCTAGGAGCATGTCCACAGCTCTTCTCTAAGAAGGGGTTGTGACTGTTGGGCTTTTCATCAGCCCTGTAAAGCCTACAGAGACAGGTGATCAGTACTAAACCAAATATACAAGAGCAACTTGCTGTAACACTCGAAGTAAAAGTTTTACATAGATTCTTGAAAGAGCCACATTAAACAATTAGAGGGAATGTCCTAGTGGAGGACTGAATGTTTGCTTAGTATCCAGGAAGCTCCAGATTTTATCCAACACACCAGCCAAAACCAAAACAATACATGCAGTGGAAGCACCAACAATCTCTTGTTCTAATCTCCAAAGGGGTCTAAGTGGCATCAGGAACTGGTTCTAAAACACAGTTCTTGGGTGCCTAGCTTTCAAGTGTGTTCACTCAAGTGTGTGCTTCATCAAGAGTCCATCTACCAGGCCTAGAGTTAGACTCTCACTGTAGCTACAGGAAACACAGAGAGTGGCTTTGCACAATTCTCCCCACCTTGGTCAATGTGACTCATTTCATGAAATTAGGTAAGGAAATGCTCATATGAAGTGATCCTAGCTATTTCTCCCAAATCTGGTTCCCTGTTGGGGAAACAAACCTTCCTGATAGAATGTAGAGACATAGTCTCCTAAATCTTCCTCTTGGAAAGTCTTTTTCCAATTCTGAAGGAAAATGCAGAAATAGACTACAAAACATAGAAGGGCTGATTTGGGAATGGGTTGGCCCACATTAGCTTGTAGGAACAAATTCTGCACATTCCTCCCTAGTGACAACTTTAGAGACATCCCATTGTCAGCTTGCAGTGGGGCTAACTGCACCAAGGAGATTGATAACTACAAATCTGGGCTCATTTTTAGAATTAATGAATTTAAACCACTTACTGTAATAGAAAAAACCACTCACTTTAATAGATAAAACCACTTACTGTAATAGACAAAACAGACACCTGCAAAAAATACATGCATCACCTGATAAACACCCTTGAATATTTTTCATTTAAACTCTCTTTAGACAGGCTGCTTTTAGGGCAGAGAATTCCTGTTTGCTTGCTTGGTTTGTTTATGTGTTTTGAGACAGGGTTTCATATTATAGCTGAGGCTGATCTTGAACTTACAGCAATTCTGCCTGATCCTTCTGTGTACTGCAGTTGCAGACATATGCCGTTACACCCAGCAGAACCAAGGAATTCGTTCTTGATTGCTTAATCTTGTAACGGATTAAATAATGAATATTTTTGTTTTTATAAACTGTATAGAAAAATATGGAAATATACATATTACATGTGCAGTTACCTCTACACTGTGCCTCCATTGTGTATTGTGGTGGTATTCTAATTAGTGGAGAGTTGGGAGCTCTCTCTCTCTCTCTCTCTCTCTCTCTCTCTCTCTCTCTCTCTCTCTCTCACACACACACACACACACACACACACACACATCCCTAAAGGAAACCAAACGAAAGCAGCCCCCAACTTCAAACAACACCCCTTACCTTCTACTAACTACAACCTTCTCTGAGATCCTCCCTTTTTAACAAAACAAAACAAACCAAGAAGATCAGGGGCTTGTGTGACCAGGAGACTAGCATCAGAATTAATATATTGAACTTCTGGGCCTCCTCCCTCCATCTTCCAAAGGCTGGAGTTGCAGGCAAGTACCACCACAACTGGCATTCTTCTCTTTCCATGAATACTTTTATAGGAAGGCTGGCATGACTTAACACTCTGCCCACCTTCTACCCATCCCTCCATCTACTCAACGCTGTTTGGAAAAGTAGCATCAT